AGTAAGGAAGACAAAACTATGAATGAAAAAATCAATTATGTATAATTGTGTATTAAGTTATAATATAAAAGTAACATTTGTTAACATAAAATTCAAGTTCAAGGGGGAATAATTCTGGAAATAGTCATGCTAGAGTAATGAACCTTGTCAAACAACATGTGTGTAATGATAAGAAATATATATTTGACGTTTTGTATAAACGGCTATTTGTAAATATAACCCGAGCCGTTAGGCGAGGGTTATATTGCAAACAGCCGTTTATATACGGCCATATAACCTGTCAACAATCTTTATATCGAATTTATAATACAGCAAGCATCATTTTGAGGGGAAAAAGTCAGATTTCTTCATGAATCGACAGCAGCCGTGTATATATTATTAGTTATAAAGATTGTTGACAGGTTATATGGCTCTATATAAACGGCTTTTTGTAAATATAACCCGAGCCGTTAGGCGAGGGTTATATTGCAAACAGCCGTTTATATACGGTCATATAACATGTCAACGATCTTTATAACGAATTTATAATACAGCAAACATCATTTTGTTTGGAAAAAGTAAGATATTTTCATAAATCGACAGCAGCCGTGTATATAAAACTTTATAATACTGCACGTTTGTAACGCCGCTTTTCATTGCATAATCGTGACGTGTATATAGATTTTTATAATACTGCACGTTTGTAACGTCGCCTTTGATTGGATAATCGTGACGTTTATATAGTTTTATATACACGGTTGTTGTCGAATCATGAACAAATCTTACTTTTTTCTCTAAAAAATGATGCTTGCTGTATTATAAATTCGTTATAAAGATTGTTGACAGGTTATATGGCCGTATATAATATATGTACAAATAGCCGTTTATATAGGGCCATATAACCTGTCAACGATCTTTATAACTAATAATATAAACGTCACGATTATCCAATGAAAAATGACGTTACAAACGTGCAGTATTATAAGTAGCATATTCACGAACTTTGGGGTCAATTTCTCGATTTTGACACCAAAGTGCGTTGGACCAAAAAGTGCGGTGTTACAGGGCGGTGTAAGGAGAGCCAGTTATCGTCAACATTTCTACTATGTTTATCGACTAACATGAGTGTCCATTGTTAGATGATAGGCCTTTAAATATCATGATGGAATAAAAAAATCCTTGCGCAAAACGAGCAAATCGAGCTGCTTTGAGCCGTTATGTCATTTCGAGCATAAAACACACGCACAAACTTTGCAGTCAAGTACTACATATAGTTTTGATTAGACAAAGTCTTGTTTATTGCTGAAAATTTGTAGATGAAACTTAAATCGTAAACAGAAATAAGTGAAACAACGTTGACACGTAAGTTTTCTCTTATTCAAATCTTTCGCATTTCATGGTGCGTGTAGCTATGGTTAAGTTTAGTAGAGCATTGTATTTTCGATTATTTAAACGTATGACTGTGTTTGCCGAGAAGAAAATTGAGTCTATATACAACTCAGCCGAGTTAAGGTATCGATGTCGGCGTTCACTTTTGTTAAAATTCTGCGAGCAACTTCATGTTGAACTTATTGTCTCACCACTCACTCGATATATTTACTGGAAACTTCACACTTGTTTTCGAGATAATATTTGAAATTCACTGTCGGCATGTTGTTTTTTTGTTATGTTAGAAACTTCCCCAAGTCCGTGATTATAGACTTTTTTCTAAGCTCAAACGCAGTTCTCATGTATCTGATTGCTTAAATTATACCTCTTTGTGAAGATCTTGATTTAAAGGTTTGCTCCCAAGATTAGTTTTCATCCCAACAGCATCTTTCCAAATGAAACTTTGGTCATCTGTGGCCGAGTGGTTAAAATCTTTGTCTTCAAACCACTTGCCTTCACCGCTGTGGGTTCGAACCCCAACAGGGACCTCGGAATCTTTCATATGAGAAAGCTATCCAGCTAGCTTACGGAACGTCGGTGGTTCTACTCAGGTGCTCGTTAAATTTGTGCCTGAGATAATGTACGGAAGGGCACCTGGGGGTAATTCTCTACCAGTAAAGCTATATAGAACGTCGCCATATGACCTGTTCTGTGTCGGTGTGACGTAATACCCAATTTTTTTTTAAATGAATGTCGGCACGTGTCTGTAATATCCTATAATTGGTCATTATAAAACATACATTCACTCTGTCATGTTATTTCCATAAATGTGAATTCATACATTATATATAATAATATTTTATTTGATATCTTATTAAGATAGAAACCGTTTATACCTTTTAGATTTGACAGAATTTATTTTAGTTTGATTCTATATGAAGCTATAAGCTTTTAGACACACTTTCGAACCGTTCCCGGAACCAGCCAGTACAAGTGTGTCTGCACCCCAACGCAGGGATTGTGGATTCGAGCCTTACTGGGGTTCACGATCACGTTTTCTTATATGACACCGGTACAAGTTAGTTCCGGGATGCTCACTCGAAAGAGGTTTAACATAGCTTCAAGTTTTCATTGCAGTCGTGGTAAGATAAATATGTTTAAAGGCCCATTATGCCTCAGAAACGAATATTTTCTTCCTTTCTGTAGAGTGGGCAAAAATGACTTTTATAACCTGATGGGTTCAGAGAATTTTAATTTTTTATCACTTTAGCAAAGTAGCGAAGAAAATGATTTTTCTTTTGTCATAAAGGTAGCAAGATGTAAACAACGTAGTATTTTGACTTCCATGCAAAATACTAATTCACTGTATATATGTACTAATTGCCAAGCAAAAGATAGTTCATGTAGTTGGCCAGTGAGTAACTTCTCGGAAACTATAACAAGAAATTAAAAAATTAAAAGTTTTTGAGAAATGAAAATATTATCATTGGTTAGGCATAATTGGCCTTTAAACAAAATTAATGTAATATATATGATGATCGACCGCCGTTTTATTTACCCTATTGTTCAGAAATGATAGAATATTGCGCATGAATGTTGACAGCGTTTATTATACACTTTCTTTATTCAAACGGTTACAATAAAACTTATACAAAAGTAATAACGCAACAAAAGCAGAATATCCATAACATATTTGTATAAACAATAAAACGAATACATTTGCAGGAAATAATAAGTTTAAATACGTGAGCATTTTTTTCAGAATTATACAAAAATATTAGCATAGACATGAAAGGAAAATTCATAATGCATTCAATATTGTAAAAATCAAATTCGTTATTTGATTAACACACTATGTAACTGATCTTCACCATAAAGCTAGATGTCTTTGTGTGTCTGTCTCCCACGTATAAAATTCGAGGGCAAATCGGGGGAAGGTATAGTATGATAATTTTTTTGTTCACCGCATCCTGTTTTTGAACCAAAATTCACACCCCACACACAAAAGATGTTTATTTTACTTTTATCATAATACATATATAATACATTATAAACTTAAAAAAAAAAAACTTAGATGGTTTCCTGATAAAAGTTTCACATCATTGCTTTAAGAGTGAGCTTAAAGAGCAGGGCGAAGCAATGCAAGCATTATGGTAACGCAGTGGTATTCAAAACTTTTCCCGTACAGCAAAATTATAGTGCTCGTCATCGTAGGTTATTGGTTCCCAGTCATATTGTATTTAGAGCACGCCAGGAATCAGTACCAGCAGGATACCTGCACTGTTATTACTCAAAGCACGCCGGAAAACAGTTTTTGCGACGGACGCGCCCTCAGGCGCGTTCAGAGCTATGTCATCTACACATTGGATTTCGTCGGCTACAATCGCGCAATGTGTCCTCAACCGAATAACAGCCCACGAAATAGTACATGAATTTGATCCTATGAAACTCCCATACTTCGTCGGGATATCTTAAAAACTTCCATATTTAGCCTTTTCAATTTCAAATTAAGTTATCCAAGTTAAAATATAAACGTATTTGATTGGTAAAAACGCTGTAGCCCCGTAGAATTATTGCGCAATTATGCAAATAACTGCTGAAACGATTTACCGCTGTCGAAAAAGTAGGACAGCAAATTATGCTATAATTAAGGAGTAAGCTCAATAATTCATAGAAATTATAAGCAGGAAATAAATATTTCCCCATTAAACAAAACATTTTTATTAACAGATCAAAAGGTGTTCGTGACTTTAGAATAACTCGCGCATTAATAAAAGAAGAACTCTTTTCGTGACTCATATCGCAGGTTTAGCTGAATATCCAGCAGTTATTAATAAATTAGACTACAGAACAATGGTTAGTATTATAAATAATGCATGTAACAACAAGGGAGTTTTTTCAACACTTTACCAACATGTAGTCTTTCATGGTAATCTTTATTGAAGGAAGTTATAATATCAGTTCTACTTCCGATTCTTGTGTTTTGTTTACATAGTTTTCTAGGTCACGATATGAGTGATTATAATAGCCTTCGACCAGAAGATAACACTATTCTAAAAATAGATTCTGCATCATCGACGAGTGAATAAACCAGCGGATACTTATTTTGTTTACATGTGTACATGCAATACTTTAAGAAATTCTATACAAATGTAAGAAAGCAAACAAGTTGAAAATGGAATAAAGTGTGAAATTGAAAGGGACAACTAAACACTGTAGTGCTTAAGTGACGTAAATGAAAAAAAAAACTCAAAAAAATTACACCATTAATTGCTGATGATTTTAACCAAAAATATTTTTAATGAGACATATCCAAGAGAAATAAATTTTAAAAATACAAATGACTTATATTTTATTGTCTATATGCCCACTATGATATAACACGAGGCAATTCTAATTAACATTCTCACATGTATTATGTATTATGATTGAAGTTTATTTGCATGGTTTTATTTTAGAAATATTTCGTTGACAGTTTTTAAAAAAAATATACTGCTCTACAAATCTCGAACTTGTATGGAACAAATTTTCTCTGTTATATCTTTTGTGTTGTTTTTTTTTTTCTAAAAAAACCTTAATGTCTCTCCGGTTGCATGTCCGTCGCATTCAGTGCTGCAGCACTTTGATTTTTTCTGGTTTCCTGTCTTATTATGGTTCCCACTCAAATTGACACTCGGAAACCTTTCCGATTACCGTCAATCCTTATATCAAGTTTCGCGAAAGTACATTTACCAAAATGTAAGCAAATTTTAAGCAAATTTATGCTCTCCGACGGGTGAGTTCAATTTTAATATCATAAATAAATCATGAAATGGCCGTATTTTCGAACACAAAATAGTGTGTAGAAGTAAAGAGTTGAGTGAAAGATTCGGCCGATAGTGTGCAGATTGCTGGTGGGTTTAATAAATACATAATAGCGTTATATATCGGTCAGAGAGTTCGCTTTGAGGCTTTGCCTCATTCATATAACATGAAATATTACTTTTCATGTGAAAAGCCTAAATACTAATAGCATTTGGGACTTCGGCGGGGTCGAGATACGGGTACGGTGGGTCTCTTGTTTTATTCTTTTTGGATATTATTTCACTGATATTCGCTAGGTCTGCGCGGAATTCGTTTACAATTTTAACTGCTTCCGGGTCAAATACGTAGTTGACCTCAAAGTCACCAAGAGGCTTTGTTCCCCGCTCACTTAAAATCTTTCCAGTGATCATGATCGAGAAGTGTGACTCTTTGTCAGGAAGCGTTGCTACAACATCAGATTCAGCACGAGTTGATTTGTCTTTTGGAGGGGTTCCGCGTAACAGGGAGGGATAGTTCAGTGGATGTGAATACTCTTCATATTGCGCAAAGTTTGCCATTGCGTGACCAACACTGAAGATGGAAATGAAGCCAGTAAGAACAGTAACTAATTGCTCCTTTGTTGTAAACTTACCGCTGTCACCGCCCGGGACTCCCTGCATGCCTAAGCCATAGTTATCTACGCTTCGTGTAATTTCTTCCCGCCAATTTTGAATCTCGTCGTCTGCGAGAAGCACTTCATTTGTTTCGTAGTACAGATCAACATATTTTTCGACATATTTTTTGATTGTGTCATATATCAAAATAGAGTCATCTCTCGCAGGAAATCGAGGAAGAACTTCCGGATCATCTATACCACGTGCTTTGAAGTCTTCTGGTATTAAACCGTCCCTATCAAATCGCCAACTTGGTCGACGTCTGCTTATAAGTTCCAAGATACCTCTGGTCTCGACAGTAAAGACTTGATCTAAGATCCCACCCTTCGACGATAGTTTATTTACCGCGCGAGTGTTTATCGCGATGAGATAGATAAAATGCGGCGCCAAAAGTTTAAAGAGCGGATGTGATTGGGACAATGTGCGGTGCGTTATTACTACAATACCTTCCATTATGAGATGCGTATAACCAAGATGAGTTACAGCTTGGTGATATTGTGCATCGGCATTATTAAACCACATTTTTGCCAAAACCCACGTGTATTCTGGATCAGACGGCAAAAACACCGGATTATCGTCTGCCTTTTTTTGAAACAGTTGAATTGCTGTGGGAACGAGCTTTCCATCGTTTCGTCTATAGAACAGGGCTATAGGTGCACACACAACGTGTCCTTCCTTACACGGACAATCTTCTAGCAAATCGTAATCGATGATGAAAATTGTTCGACCTGTTAAAGCGTCACCGAGAGATTTTCCTTCCAAGAAAGGCTCGACCATTTCTGGTGTAACTCCGAACTTTTCGGGAATTTCCGTACACAGTCGGATAACAGTGTTATTGACGCCCGCTAAACGCTGATTACCGAATTTGACGTCATCTTTCCACCTGAAACACAAACAACAGTAGATAAGACATTCGTACAACATGAGAGTATGTATACATATAAGTACAAATATGTGTAGGAAGGTGTAAAACTTCTCCATACATCCATCAGTTCTAATTGACCAATTTTCATTTTTTAAACTAATTTAAAAGTAGTACACACGTTCTTTTGTTTCTGCATCTATGGACTGTTACTTGATCTTTGAAAGTCATTGCAATGCACGCGTATGCCAAGCTTATCTGGCACAACTTTGACGCGAGACTTCCATGTTCCCCTCTCTCTCTCCCCCGTCGCCTCGCCTCTCCCCTGAGCAGCCGGCTTTTTAGCGAAAATTACGCTAAACAAGCGAAAATCAGTAAAATTTTGACTCATATATGTTCCTCTAATAACTAATAAAATGCTGAACCCCATTTGGAATATGCATCCTACCTCGTCGGGCTTTGCGACACCCTTTGATAAAAAATCCCGGATCTGCGCCTGAATTTCATGGGGCTATACATGAAGTACTTTTAAGTGCAAATCAGTCGTGTAAATTCAGATAAAATCAATGCTTAAGTAGTTGGTGTGTATCAAACCATACAAGTTTATGGACTTATATATCATACGCACTTAAATTTGTACAAATAGATGTATAATTTAGTTATGTTTATTATTTACATGTAGCTAAGTTTGTTGATCACATTTAGTGATTATATACGTACATGTATCTTTATTTACGTGTATAAAATAAAATCATTGTTATTTAATAATCAACAAGTTTTAAAGCTAACTTTAATATCGAAGTATTTAAAAAGTTTAAATGCATTACTGGTGAATAAGAATAATTTGACTTAAATTAAATTACAAGAGCGATCAGTAATCACATGTGTCGCCTCATGATGGCCAATTTCATGTTGGGACAAAGTTTGTGACAGACGGACAGACAGACGGACAGTGCACAACTACACTTGGTACTGATCATTCCCGTAAAGTTTGGATAAAATTGCACCAGTAGTTTATGAGTAGTCCGGACAAGCTTTTGCGTATCTGGCAACACACAAGAAAAACACCTTTTGATCAAAGGGCCATAACTCAGCCAAAAATCATTCAACCGGAAAACCCGTGCAATATGCGCAAGCACTTGAGCTGCAGATCAATCATGTAAAGTTTCATTGAAATTGCTTTAGTGGTATAAGAGAAGTAGTCCAGACAAACTTTAAAAAATAAAAATTATTAATGGGCCATAACTCTGACAAAAATCATTGAACCGAAAAATGCTGATAATATGCACAACTACACTTGGTACTGATCATTCCTGTAAAGTTTGGATGAAATTGCACCAGTAGTTTATGAGGAGTAGTCCGGACAAGTTTTGTGACGGACAGACGGACAGACAGACGGACAGACGGAGAAGTGATCCCTATATGTCGCCACTACTCCGTAGAGGCGACACAAAAAACCATTACAGATTTTGAAGAAAAGAACTGCTGCAGAGTGTCGCAAACTTTGTTCCATTAACAACCCATTATAACCATTAAATTTCCATTAGATAGTTATTGCGATGCAACTTATTTTGTTGTATTTGAACACTCAATATCAAGGAAAAACATTTCCCAAATTCAAAATTAATATTTCAAATATAGAAATAACATGTCTGGTTTCTAGGTCAAGTTATTTATGAAGGTTTTCCATAGCTCACTACAAATTGGCCGATGTATAATTTCAAATATGGATTTTTTTTGTGGGCGAGTATTTAAAGTTGCCGACACGGAATCTTGTCAAAAACTCCGTTGGTTAAACCATACCGGGAACTTTTCTTATGAGGAGGCCAATCTGACTAAAGTTAGACCCATTTAAGTTATTTCTTGCATGAGCGAAAGCGTAGTGTTAATTTGGAGCTGCTTTTAATCAGATTAGTAAAAATCTTTTAAGGCTATCCGGCTTGCGTACAGAAAAAAATAGTGCCCGCCAGTGATTGAAGTTTTAACGGATCTTCTTTTAGTAGTCATTGAAAAGTCGAAACTACCTTTAATTTACAGTACGATGTGACCGAAACCAGAGAAGGTCTAAAAAATAAAATTCGGTCTAAAATTAGAATTTGGTCTAAAAATAGAATTTTGACATTTATTTCTTTATAACATACTTCTCCGTGTCTGTTGGTGGAACAAAAACAGACTTCGTATATATACTTTTGACATCCTCTATTGTTTTCCATGCTCCGGTGGCAATACGCTTCACTTTACTTGTTGCCAACAACACCAGCTTTTTCTTGTTCAAGTCCCAGAGATAGTCAAATGAGAACTCCTCGTCCGCGGGGATGGCTTTAATTCTGCTTGGAATACCCGGAGCAGGGATAGCTAACTCGTACAATGCCTTCTTTTCCTCGAGTTCTTTTTGTCTTTGTTCTGAAAGTACACTTGTTTGTGTAACAGATTTGCGATGATATTTTCATAATAAAGCTGGAAATACACTTGTCTGTATAATAGTTTTTCAATGCATGCATGCATACAACAGTACATGTATTCTCAAAATAAATCATGAATCTAGGCTTTGCACTCCTGTGCTCGCTGGTCAGATCTTCGGGCTTCGGGGCTACGCAAAATTTCTCTGTGACAATTGATCTCCGACATTGAGTGTAATGGTCAATTGTCTCTCATAAATGTAGCTGAATGTTGGGTCATTTTCGGATAAATAGGTTATTATACTAGTTTGTTACCCAGGAAAGTCAGTTTGGTGGACTTACCGTCGAGATATCACCAATCATATACTAAAATCGGCGTAAAAGAAACAAACAAACGGACAAACGGACAAAAACAGACAATATATCTACTAGTATATAAAAAGAACGAAATCATTAAGATGTTTTGTTTATTAAAAGAACTGAAATCAAATATTCAAAACGCTGTCCATTTTTATCCCAATTAAACATGCTTATGTCACTCTATGAAAACAAATTTATAGAAAAAAATTGAATGTCCTTTGTTTACGTATGCGAATCTTCCCTTTCATTATTTTTCCTGTTCGGATGTTGGTTTGGCAGTATGTGACTGTTGTCTGTGTGCGCGCGTATGTGTGTGCGTGAGTGTTTAAGTGTGCACGCGCATGTGTGTTATTATTTTTCTTTTTTTTTTTCATTTTTTTTTGTTTTTTATTTCTTGCATGTATGCCTTTAAATAGCATGCTTGTTTGTTCTCGAGTAATCATGGTCCTTTATGTGCATTCGTTTTGCTGTATTTCGAGCACACAGGTATTTTTAGCTAGCATGCTTCTGAAGGCGTGTGAAGGACACATTTCCTTTTCTGCATTTTTTATTACTGGTTTACGTTAAAAAAAACTTCTAACCTTTTCTCTCGTCGTACTGCGGCAGACTTGTGTCGAGCGGAATAAAGTTGTATCGGTAATTGGCTCGAATCCACCGAAAAATCGGAAACACTGCCTCATCCCCGGTACCCGTGTTCTTCACTGAGATCGTGTCAATGTTCCAGTCAGAAGAAATTCCAAAGTTGTCCCTCCATAATTCAATATGATCAATCGATGCAAACTAAAATATTGATAATGATGATAATAAGAACAATTACAGACTTTTCTTTTTGTCTAAAGAAAGTTCAAAATAAAATTAGAAATGTATCTATACTAGGCCACTGATGCCCCGTCTTCATTCCACTTTCACTTTGGCATATTTACATACATATTTCCCAGACCTATGACTGAGGAAACTCTACTTATTGCATTGATAAGACAAGGATGTTACATTAACCGGGACTGTGTCCTCACGACTTGACAATGAATAGGGGTCACTCATTTACTGGTTCAGGGCAATATCCCTATCAATTTTGAAAAATAGACTTATTCATTCTCAAGTTACTGACCGGACAAGAATTTTACGAAATGTGTCCTTGAAGCCATGACATTTTACCTCAAAATCGATACAAACCATTTACTGGCCATGGACAATGTCCTCACCAAGTTACATATATCATGGCTTTTACCTTCTCAAGACAAGTTGTTGACTGGACAAGGATTTTAGATTAAATGTCATGGTGACCATGACCTTTGACTTAAAAATTAATAGGGGTCATCTTCTAGCCATGGAAAATGTCCCTACTTAGTCAAATAAACTGCTGCTTATCACTTCTCATGTAACAGATATAAAAGATATTTTACATAAAGTGTCATTGTGACCTTGACTTTTGACCTTATGACCTCAATTCAATAGTAGTCATCTACTGGTCATGGGCAATGTACCTATTAAATAACATGAGCAACGGCTCATTCGTTCTCAGGTTGTCGATTGGACAAAGGTTTTGAATTAAGTGTTACTCTGACCTTCATGTGACCGTGACCATGGCAAGTGAGTGGCAACTAGTTCAACATGGTATCTGAATCAGAAATGAGAGACAAATAGTCATTAGCACTAATGTCCGAGATAATTAATTGTCACGGAGAAGTTTTACCCCGACCGACGATCGAACGAGCGTCACGTGGACTATAAAAAATGCTCTCCCTATTAAAGCAGCATGCCTCTAGATTCATCCTAATTTTCATAAAAAATTTGAAAATGTATTTAAAAGTAAAATAGTGGGAAATGAACAAATAAAGTAATTGACACATTGCAATCGGCACTTATAATCCACGTAAATTACCAAAAAGAGGTCAAAATATGCAAAAATAGCCCCTACTGCGTTAGTAACGCAGTAGAAATATGATGATAAATACTGGTAAAAATGCACATAAGATATAAATTATCACTTGAATGTTTAATCTATTTACTTTTCTTTAAATCTTAGTACAGTTTTTCCAAGTTTAATTTTCTTTGAATATTTTGACTCATCTGGAGCCATGCAACTGTAAGTTAATCGGTCGGAAAATATTTCGTCTGTCATAGCTAGCTTTATACACCTTGGAATGCATGATTTTTTATTTGATTGCCAAAATGGAGTGTTGACCTTAAACGTCACGATTTTTTAAAGCATTAACAAAAAAAGCAAAAAATAATGGTTACGAGCTTTATATCGAATGCAAAATATGCGTTAAAAACTAAATAAACGAGCACTGTACAATTTAAATAGTGTTTTTTCTTTACGCTTCAATTGCATTGAGTTATGGCCTATTTTATGTGGTTTTTTAAAACTTTTTTATGTTTTGAAAGATATATTATATAGAAACAATGTAAATAAACATATCTAATGTCAAACTGGCGTTTCAAATAAAAAAGCAAATTACGTAGTAACGTGTATTTAATATATTTCTTTTATAATAAGAACTGTAATGGACACAGTTCTATCTCTAATCGAACACCTCGTCGTTTCATTATAATCCTTATCCGAAAACTGCCAAAAATATTACGGAAACTACCAAAAAGTTTAAGTAATATCCACTTGCAAGATGAGCTTATTTGCCCCAAATTTCAGTAGATTGTTTTTTATAATGATGCCTGACCAATAACTGAAAGTGACAGTGTATTTGATAAAATGTAAAAAAATGTCAAAACAATTTAAAAGAACAATATTAAGTATCTCACTTTTAGGTCACGCTAATGAAAATATCTAGCATCTCACTCGCACTTCACACTTGTCAGAATATTAAGTATCTCACTTTTAGATCACGTTTATGACAATTTTTATACATCTAGTATCTAAATGGTTCAGGCTCTTGAGAACATTTAGCATCTCACTTTTAAGATCACGCTTATGACAATATCTATAGTATCTATTTCGCACTTTACATTCGTGAGAACATTTAGTATCTCACTTTCAGATCACGCTTATGACAACATGTAGTACCTCATTCGCAGCTCACGCTCGTAAAATATTTAGTATCTCACTTTTAAGAGGTCAATCTTATAACAATATTTATTTATCTAGTATCTAACTCGCACGTTACGCTCGTGAAAACATTTATATCTCACTTTCAGATCACACTTATGACAATATCTAGTATCCCCCTATGCATGTGAGAACATTGAGTACATGTATTATCATTTTTGGTCGTGAGAACATTAAGTATCTCACTTTAAGATAACGCTAACCCACCACGAGGGTTACACTCGTGAGAATATTTTTCATCTCACTTGAATTTCACACTTATAACAATATCATTTATCTTGGTAAACATGATATTTACACGATGTTTAAGAACGGTTCTTACCGGAAGTTTGCTTATGTTAAAAGAGTCCAGCTGTCCTCTTTCGAAGTCGTTCCTGAAGAATACGTCAAGCTTCGTTTCCCGTGAAGCTTGTCCGTTGCTATGCAACACAATGTAAACATTGGCATCTGTACCAGCTTTTGGACGGTCACCTGTTTTGATCGAAACTTTATACGTATATGTATTCGATGAAGATTCATCTTTTGTATTGAAAGACAACTTTCCAGATTGTCCGCCCATTGTATCGCACGAGTTACTCTGCAAATAAACAAAAAGAACCTTAATTGTTTTCTCAACAAGATACCTTGTATGTAAAGATTTCAATTTAATTAGAAGAGGCTTTCAGCAATGTTACAATGGAATACAAACCAAAGGGCAGGACGAGAAGAGTTGCACACTTGGTTCCAGCGCAAACAAAAGAGGGTCGTTATTTTTCAAATTTAGAAGTGGCTGTCAACAATTTTTTAATTATACCTTTAAATAATGGATTACAAACCAAAGGGCAGGTCAAGAACTGGTTGCATACTTGGTTCAAACGAGCGAAAAACTTGACAAAATGTCGACTAATACATGGAAGTTTATACCTCCCGCAGGAAAGTGGAATTTTATATCATTTTTTATTATTTGAATATATACCCTCTCATTGTGATACAATATGCTTAAAATGTGCACCTAACATGTAGGGTAGTGGCTTACTATAATTTAATCAATGGATATACATTTTAGTTGCAAACAAAGCCAGTTTACATCTTCAATAATTTAGTCAAACAAGAATACAGGAAGCTGAAACCTTAAATCGAGAGTGTCATAAACATTGCATCAATTAATGTACAATATTATCTAAACCTTCTGAAATAATATCCAAAATTCTGTGCAGACAAAATACGGGAGATATATATATATTTTTTTCATGACTCTGTCGCCATTTTGTCAAGTTTGCGACCATTTCACTCGTTCGAACTACGTGTGCAGCAACTTTGCGTCCTGTCCTTTGATTATATGCATATGATATTATTTGTGTAACAGCCCTTTTTTTTGGTGCTTTTATATACAGTAAATTTTGTTGAAATGCACAAAACAAAATAAACAACAACAAAAATAAAAAAAAATAAAAATTAGGAAAATGTTCTAAAAGATCGTGCTAAAAAGGAAACATAAGTACCGTCTAAATTAATAGTATCACAGAAAAAAAAATAAACGCATATAAAATGATCCATTTTTTATGATGAAAAAAATACCTGTTTTGCGTTAAAGTAAAAATCCACTATATAAAACACCTTTTCCCCTATCTAAATGATTGATATTTACAGTAACATGTTTTTAACAGTAACATAAGTTATAAATAATAAAAATTCACCCTGCTTCAGTGAGCATTGAAATGTGGGAACATCACGTTTTGGTTTATTTCTTATGAGTAAAAACATTCCATTGCGCGTAAATGTATAAAAACCGTTTACGGATCGGTGACCCTTGTCCTTGTCAATATCTGATTGCTGCATGTATTCATGTATGAAAGATCAATAAAAATTGAAGATCCATTTTACCTTATTCGTCCGTCTGTACGCTTATGGTACATTTTCTTTACTTACCAAAACAGTTGCGTTTAGAAAATAAGTCGATACAAATGTTGATATGAATAAGGTAAATTGGTTCATCGGTAAAAGATATGTTAGAGATAAATGATTGTTCATACATTAACAAGTATATTTACTGTATGGAAATTGTTTTGTGAATTTACTATTCATTAGAGACACTTATTGACGAATTTACACATTACTTTCTAGGAGTAATTGATAAAAGTAGTTCTTGTTAATGTACAAAATCAATCGCTTCTTTTCGGCCTTTTCCGTCAAACTACGTATAAGGTTATTATGAAAATAACCGCGGTGTTCCGATTGGTATAAAGCGCGGATGACCCTAGTCCAGAGAACTATAGTTTTTAAATAATACTATACCACAACACCCTAAATATCTAAAATGAACTTGTCCATCTTTTAAGTATGGAGGTAAGTATGCATTCGTCATTTTAGGGAAAATTTGAAAAAAAATGTACCGAGTGAATAGCGAACAGTGTAGACTATATGATCAGTCGACATTGGTTGTATGGGTAGCCTCTAATCTTTAGAATCTAGATCGTTAGAAGAGAAAAGTAAAGAGCAGTATATTAGAATAAATAAACCAAAGAATGGACCTTCGGACCATTTCGGCTATTGTCAATGTTATATATTGATATATATTGAAACAGACTTTAGTTGCTACATGTAACATCACTTGTATATTAAATCTTGGAATATTAAGACGTACTCCTGTTGTCTCTTCTAGTTCAAATTATACAATAGTATATTTTACTGGACATCTCATTTGAGATATAATATTCTCGATAATATACTCACTAAAACAAAACATACAACAGTCAATAATAACTTCAATCGGAATGTCCTCGGCTATTATCTATAATCTTATCCGAAGACAGACGGAAAGGGCCGAAAGTTCCGATTGTAAATAACTTGTTCCCTGCGGTCTCCATTCCCTGCGGTCTGGAGACCGCAGGGTATTGGTACGCGTTTAACTTTTGAGGCATGGAGGAGCACGTGACCTGTTTTCGGTACAATCTGTAAACCGTATATGATTGGTTAACTGACCTTTTCGAAAACCCAGCTAAATACCGTTTGCCGGTACGTTACGGACTTACCTGTAGGGAATTAGTCCGAATTATACCTAATTGAGAACAAAAATCTATTACGTGATATTTCTAATTTTCTACAATTATTTTACCGTTTAAGGTGGAAAAACTTGAATGATGTGTTTGAAAATTATCAATGTTTCTTTAATATCTATCTCAAATTTTACAAACAATTAATTGTTTATACTGAAAATCTACAAAATTAAAATATTCGTAGTGGCATCTGCCATAATAGAGATATTTTCTGCGTAAACTTGTGTATTTACTTTATTTTTTTTTTGCTCGGAATTATTCATAAAATGGTAGGCCTATTTAATCATTTTCTTAAAAAGAAATAATTGTTTTAAGTTCGACCTTCTCCGGTCTTGATCAACGGTCACATGCAGTTTCCAAAGACCTTCTTCTATATTGTTCGATTATTGTCAACTATATTCCTGTTAAAAAAAAAAAAAAAATGTTGAAAATAGTTGAAATATCTTTATATCATTAAAATGTTCACCGCAGGAAACCATTTTACTTGTACGAAGTTTGACGGAAAGGGCCGAAAAAATGCGATTGGTATGAGAGATGTATCAGTCCGCACTCATGCGTGTTTGAAAGGTAATGAACTCATAGACAGTACAAACATCTGTATATGAATGAAAGATAAATATTAACGTACAAATACTAAAATTGAGATCGTTAAATTTTACAAATACAATTATATTACAATGATACGCGCGGCCACGGACGTTAATTGTCAATTAAGGCGCTTGGTACGTCATACAACAGATTACATGCATAATTATATACCCTGTGTAAACCATTTCTCATGTATTTATGTTGTTGTTATTGCTATAAACTTTGTAAGTTTAAAGCGGAATAAAGTGTATTGTATTGTATTGTATATATTTGTACAAACTGAATTTCAGAATTATTTTTTTGTAAGCAAAACTTACGCATGTATCTAAAACGCTAGAGACATAGAGTTATTTGGGAGCTGATTTTATAATCAAATTGGTTGAAACAAATTGATCAGTAATAAAATAAAATAGTCCTATGTACCATTGGAATTTATTTCCAGTCAAGTAACACGAACTAGAGTTAGAAAGTGATGAGTTTTAAACTAGTATTAATATGTAATACGGAATAAAATCGGGACAAGTGAAATTATATGAGACATGTACGCGTAGATTAAAGATGAGATAAAAAGATACATAAAAATATACGCCTTTTTATACACACAATTCAAAATAAAACATGCATAAAAAGATTCTTACCTCTGAGTGTATTTTCTCTTCCATCCTGTAATTTGATTACTTTTTAAGTATATGAATGATCTAGGCTATTTGAGAAATTAAAATTTATTATTTCTACTCAAGATGAAGTGTTTCCGTTTTTAAACTATCTTATCATATGACATGATTTGTTTTCAATAATTACTTGTTTATCTGCTTAAATCTAAACCAATATACACATGTATGTACATAACGTAAGACCTTGGATTTCAAGGTCGCTAATAGTCAAGTCAAGTCAAGTCAAATTTCCTTTATTGCACACATTTCATGTTAACATGAATAAATGTGGTTAGTAATAAGTACAATGTTAGTAGAGGCTCTTTAAACAAATGTACAATGTATAATTATATAATTTGAGTGGTAAAATAATTCTTAAAAAGAGTATTTATTCATATCATTTGCTGAACTGCAGTACGTTCAATTAACAATGTATCAAAACCACAAATTGTTAAAGTTCTTAGTAAATATGTTACCACAAAAAAAACGTGGAGAGTCACGTAATTTAGACACTCTCTAAGGGTATAATTTCGTTTTATATTACCTTTCTTTTTATTTATCGACAAACGATGAGAATAGTTACAAAAAAGAAAAAGGGAAAAGAAATAATAATATAAACAACTGACAAGTGGTGTACAATTATGTACGACATAATATTTTAAACCTTTACAATGACATTTATAGACTCATACTTATAAGCTAAATGAAAAAAGTGTCATACTATTTAGACAAATATTATAACAAACAAACACTTTACTATGGGTAATAAAAGATTAATCTGTGAAATATTCGTGTAATAGTCTTGGAATGTAATGTAAGTAATCACATATGAGGTGAATACTAATTTGATTATCTTAAAATTATTGTTTTAACAAATTTACATAATTTCAAATATTCGCTCTTGTTTTCTGTATTAATTAGTTGTTCTAGTTTGAATGTATTTGCACGTCTGTAATAATAGGGTTTCAAAAATTTCTTTCTTTCATCATTAAGCAAAATACATTCAAATAAGTAATGAAATTCGTCGCCTATTTTATTGTTACAAGAAGTACATGTTCTTTGAATATCTTTGTCAATTTATATCACTTATTACGTCAATAGTCTATTGTGCAGGGTAAAAAAATACAAGCATAATAATTGTAAAATGAGTAGATAATTATATTGATTAAATATATTGTAAAAGATCGTATTCCTTTGCCTTTAAACATTGTATAATGTTTTACGCGTAATAAACTTCGCATCCTTCCATAGCTGGGGAAAAGCCATGGTTTGTGTCGAGTTAATAAGCATTTACAATAATATAACAATGATACGCACGCCCACGGACGTTAATTGTCAATTAAGGCGCGTGGTACGTCATACGATATATTACAATACATTTATATTTGTACAAACTTGATTTCATAAAATTTTTCTTATTTTTTTTTTTTTTTTTTTTTTTTGTAAGCTAAACTTACGCATGCATTTGAAACGCTAGAGATCTTAAGATCTAAGGTGGAGCATAGCGTTATTTGGGAGCTGATTTTAATATATCAGATTGATTGAAACTAATTAATGGATAGGTAATAAAAAAATAGTCTTAAAAACTAAAAAAAATAACCATTTGAAATTATTTCTAGTCAAGCAGTAGTAACACGAACTAGAGTTAGAAAGTGATGGGTTTTAAACTAGTATAAATAAGTAATACGGAATAAAATCGGGACAAGTGAAATTATATTAGACATGTACGCGTAGATAAAAGATAAGACTCGTAAAACATACTTAATAAAAAATTATATTAAAATTTAAACACACAATTCAAAATAAAACATGCATAAAAAGATTCTTACCTCTGAGTGTATTTTCTCTTCCATCCTGTAATTTGATTACTTTTTAAGTATATGAATGATCTAGGCTATTTGAGAATTAAAATTTATTATTTCTACTCAAGATGAAGAGTTTCCGTTTTTAAACTATCTTACCATATGACATGATTTGTTTTGAATAATTACTTGTTTATCTGTTTAAACCTATTTCAATAAAATTACATAACACATGGCGTTGGATTTCAAGGTCGTAAATATCGTTGTCATTTATTAGCTCGACTATTCGAAGAATATGAGAGCTATTGTAGTCGCCCCGGCGTCGGCGTCGGCGTCGGCGTCAGCGTCCGCGTCGGCGTCTGCGTTGGTTAAAGTTTTTTGTAAAGTCAAATATCTCAATTATTACTTGAGATATTCAATTGAAACTTACAATACTTATTTATAGTAACAAGGTACATCAGATTGACAAGTTGGATAACTCTGCCTACAATATTGACAGAATTATGCCCCTTTTTAACTTAGAAATTTTGGTTAAAGTTTTTTGTAAAGTCAAATATCTCAATTATTGCTTGAGATATTCAATTGAAACTTACAATACTTATTTATAGTAACAAGGTACATCAGATTGACAAGTTGGATAACTCTGCCTACAATATTGACAGAATTATGCCCCTTTTTAACTTAGAAATTTTGGTTAAAGTTTTTTGTAAAGTCAAATATCTCAATTATTGCTTGAGATATTCAATTGAAACTTACAATACTTATTTATAGTAACAATGTACATCAGATTGACAAGTTGGATAACTCTGCCTACCATATTGACAGAATTATGCCCCCTTTGGAACTTAGAAATTTTGGTTAAAGTCAAATATCTCAATTATTGCTTGAGATATTCAATTGAAATTTAAAATACTTATTTATAGTAACAATGTACATGTAACTCTGTCTGCAATATTTGCAGAATTATTTGAAACTTAGAAATTTTGGTTAAAGGTTAACGGTCTTCAAAGATATTTACTTGAAACTTTACACATGCACTTAGGGTCATAATTGGAGGGTCATAATTGTATGTCACTGACCAAGTTCCATAACTCTATCTTGCAATAAGGCTGATTCATATCCCCTTTTCTACTTAGTCTCTTGGTTAATGTTTACATGCAAGTTTTACATATCTCAATAACTATTAAAGATATTTATCTAAAACTTCACATATGCATTTAGGGTCATAATTGTAGGTCACTGACAAAGATCCATAATTCAATCTTGCATTTAGGCTGATTTTTCTCCCCTTTTTCAACTTAGAAATTCATGGTAAAGTTTTGCTTGTAAGCTGTTATCTCAATAACTACTGAAGGGTTTGTGCCTTTTTTGGGACAATTTTATGCATTCATAATAATAAAGCAGTGATTTACTTGATAAAACATCTTAATAACAAGCCTTTGTATCTTTTCTGTCAAATTTATGTATTCATAGGTAATTAGTATTATTATACTCAATAAAAAAAACCTTGTGACATTACCTTCCGAATAGTCAAGCCAATTCTGTATAATTAGACTCTCTGTAAGGCCTATAACATGAATTTATAAAAAAAAATTAGCCCTTTTGTGAACTTAAAAAAACGAACAATATCAAGGCTCTTTTACTATCAAGCACTTAGAATAGTCGAGCGTGCTGTCCTACAGACAGCTCTTGTTTTATTACGCAGTTACGTCAATGATCATTTATGCGGGGTGAAAATACAAACATAATAATTGCAAATTGAGTAGATAATTATATTGATTTAATATATCGTATAAGTTTGTGTTTCTTTGGCTTTAAACATTGTATAATGTTTTACGCGTAATAAACCTCGTATCCCTCCATAGTAGAGCTCAGACTTCCATGAACTGTGGAAAAGCCGTGCTTTGTGTCGATTTGATAAGCATGCTAATAATTATATAAAAGAAGTGGCAATGGTGACAAGGGTTGAAATTTCAGAAGCAGAATTGCACAATTATTTAAATAGTTAATTGTCAATTCCAAACTACAATTATGTACATAAGACTTTATTATTTCTGTGTCTTTTAAAATGCACTCAAAGAATACACATTTTATGGTTTATTCTTTGTAAAACCATTTCTTTATTATGATTGAAGGCGTATGCTTTAGTTTGCCCGTAGATCTATGTATACAAAAGAATGAAAACCGTAAAATAATTTAGTTTGCATAATCTTTTTTACATGACAATCGCAGGTTGAGGAGTAAGAATAGTAAGAATTAATACACTCAAACGGAAACAGTATTTTGGTATACATGTAAACAAATACTCGTAGTTATTTAACCTTTAACCCCATGAGCATATTGTGAAAATGGCCGTTTTCATTGAAAAGCCTCCTGTTACAAGTTCAAACTGCTATGAAACTACGAAAAATGTTTCAATACTGATGAAACTTGGCACAAATATTGACTAGATCATAGCCTCTGTAACAGCATGCTCAATCGTAAATTTCATGTTACCATGGCAACGGGGGTACGTCTCAAAATTGCCAAATATCACTATTTTGCATTGTTTTTTTCCCCATCAAATCTGATTTCAAAGTGCTGCAACTTCTCAATGAATTGATATAGAGTAAAAGGCTTTTTCAGCGTCGGTTACAAGTTACCCTAAGACCGACATGAGGCCATTTTTAGCCTGTCACATGTCCAAATTTTTCTTGGCGATGAGGGGGACTACCGCCCCCCTCAATTCCCCCAACAGAAGGGGCAACCTCCTGATGTACCATTTTGTTGGGGCGGAACCGAAAAAGTGGTCACTTTTTTGTGTCTCCTAGGCGACATATAGGGATTACTTTTGTCGTCGTTATCGGCGTCGTTGTCGGCGTCCCCTAAAGCTTGTCCAGAGCATAACTCAGTATTTTTAAGTTGGATTGACTTCAAACTTGGTATGCATGCTTCTTTCAATAACACGAAGTGCAGTGCACAAGGACCGGTACTCTGCACTTTTTAATTTTTGAGTTATTGCCTTTGTAAATTTTCATACTTTAATTTTGTCCGGACCATTTCTCTTCAACTATAAAAGCTATGGACATGCAACTTCATATGACGATAGATCTCATTAAGAAGAAGTGCAGTGCACAAGAATCGGTACTCTGCATTTCCTAATTTTTGAGTTATTTCCCTTTGTTAATTTTCATATTTTATTTTTGTCCAGGCCATTTCTCATAAATTCTCATATAAGTGCAGTGCACAGGAACCGGTACTCTGCATTTCTTATTTTTTGAGTTATTGCCCTTTGTTAATTTTCATACTTTATTTTTGTCCGGGCCATTTCTCCGAAAGTATATAAGCTATGGACT